TTAAATGAATGTTTTTGTTTCTAATATTTAAATGTAATTGTATTTTCTATAGTTTTTCAATGTATGTACACCTAAATAATTTTTTTAAAAATTTGTATTTAAAAATTATTTTATGATATTTATTTAATATAATAATTAATATTATTTATTATAAAAATTAATTATTAATTTTAAAATATTATAATAATTCCACCTTCTAAGTAGAGAAAAAATATTAAATTAAACAAATTAAAAGTTATAAAAAATTTTATGTATACGATGGCACATTTCATGTTCTGATTGGAGGATTAAATTTATTAAATTAAATTAAAAGTAAGACTAAATTGATAAAATATGTAAGTATTGAAGATTAAATGTGTAATTATACTATTTTTATTAACTTATGCATCAATATTTTTGTTAACTATTGATAATAGATGACTAGATTGATAACATTTAAATAATTACGTGATAAAATTAATAAATCGATAATCAAAATAAAAAAATAATAGATATATAACCATACGTGTAATATTATAATTTCATACATTTTTTCCTATAGCTTCAATAAGATCAAAGCTAGTTTTCATCTATTGTTTCATCCGATTAATGTCGCGTGGAATGGGTGAATGCCAAAGTCCTTGAAACATATAACACTAAAACCTAAATTCACTTCACCTTTAACACACATTTAAAAAATACATTCGATAATTCTTAAATTATAACTGAAACACTTTACATAATATATTAATAATTTATAATAACAATAAAAATAAAATCTTTATTATTAAAGAAAATATCAGCGTGGCATCCAACTCAGCAGAACCCATATAAAGCGCATTCCCGGGGATGCGCTTTATATGGGATGCGCCTTACACGTGTGACATCTCAATCAACATAAACTCAGGTAAAACACTTCCCCGGGGATGCGCCTTTGTGCCACCTCAGCAGAAAATGTGCTACTTCGGAAAATATTAGTCAAAGGGTGTTAGAAAGGGAGAATTTCGACGAAAAAGTGTTAGTTTAGTCAAATCGCCCATGTCGGCTGGTCTCTCTTGAAGGTACACGCCAGCCCCAGCAGTGGTCCCTCCAAGCCACGTCTTCGCCACATATGCACCAATGGCCTCCAAAAGCCCCAACCCAGACATGCAAGCAAGTTAAAGAAGAAATGAGTAGTATTTTTTGGCATGTCATTTTTCTTTGTAAAACGGGGGTCGATATAAAATGAAAAACAATGTACGGAGGGTGGACTCTTCCCCGATAGAGGCTCCCATTCGAAATAGAGAGAAAAAAACAGTGGAGAATCCTTTTCCCTCGAAAATAATTTGTAACAGAGTATTTCCCATTTCTTTCTTTCGAACCAAAAATCAATACAAAGACAAGGATTTTCTCAAGAAGGTATTCTAACCTTCATCTTTTATTTTCCTAGCAGCAAGCTTTCAATGTTCGAAGTAAAAATAAGGAAAGGGGGTATTTTCGTTTAACTTAGGAGTTCGAGCTCTTCGTTGGAGGTCTAGTTCGTCGCCGGAGATAGGGCTGTTGAGATAGAGAGCCGAGCGGTTGTGGGTTGATTTTGGCGTTTAGGGACTCTTTGTTTTAGCTATTAGGATTCTAGAATAGAGAAGGGATAGTCGGAGCCTTTTTTTAGGTTGGTGTTAAGGGGGTTTGGCCACCGTCGGTGGTGGCCAAAATGATGAGCGGTGTCGGTTTAAGCCGATAAACGGCTTGGGTTTTGGCCTAGAGGGTTTTCGAACAAGAGGGAGAAGTGTTTACCTTGGGTTTCTTTGGGTGTCCGGCCATGGTGGTGGGTGTTCAGAGATTAAGAGTGTCCACCGATGAGCGATGGCCTACGCGACCATTAATCTTTTGTGGGGGTGCCGTTTGTGAGGGGTTGGCGACCGCATGTTTGGAGAGGGGTCGACGACCGCATGTTTGGAGAGGGGGAGGGTTGAGTTTCAAAGAAAATAAAAGAGGGGACTTTAGTTTTTTAGGGTTTTAGGTTTAACAAAAAATAGAAAATATGACATATATGTTAGAACTTTAGGTCTAATCACCCTTAGACCCCGAACGTTTAGCACATATTTACATTTTGGTCCCTTTCATTTTTTATTTATTGCATTCGAAATTAACCAACAATTTATGTTTTATTTTATTTTGGTCACCACGTCCCCTATTTATTTTATATTTCTTCGAATTTGACATGCTGATTTTTATTATTTTTATTTTGATCACTTAATTGCATTTCATTTTTATAATTTTGATATGCTGATTTTTCTTGTTTATATTTTAGTCACTTTTACGTTTTATTTTATTTTATTTTTGACATCTTGTTTCATTTTATTTTAATTTAGTCATCATTTTTCTATGGTATTTATCTGAAATTAGCTATTGACTTTTATATCAGTTCATTTTAGTCATTGGTTGCTTCCTTTTTATTTATTTATTATGAACTTGATATGGTAGCTGCAATTTATCCATTTTAGTCACTGTTTAGTCATGATTTGTTTGCTATTTTTTTAATCTTATTTCATTTTAGTCCCTTATTTTAACATACTAATATTAAACGTTACTACGACCTTGTGATGACCTGCCCTTGGGTATGATCTACATTATTTATAGTTCATGTAAAATTCTAACTTGCTAACTACTAAATCACTAACCGCTAACTTTTATAAAATATATTCGAATCAATTTACGACCTCACGATGACCCACCCTGGGTTATGATTCGCGTTATTTATGGTCTGGGTAAGAATTAAAATTAACCCATAACTTTTAATTTTTATTCGATTGCTTATTTTCAATTATTTACATTTCAGCCCTTCATTTTCTATTTTTTGCCTCTAATTTATGGCATTTACATTTTAGTTCTTTAAATAGTTTTTTATTATTTTCGGCAATTTCTTAATTTAAGCTTTAATTTATGTTTTCTTTTATTTTTGCCCTTTATTTGATGAATTTTAATTTCAACCTTGCACTTTAATTTATTTGAATTTTGTCCTTTTTATTGCCTTAAATTTGCATTCATTAATTTTATTTTCCTTTTAATTTAGTCCTAAATAGCTCACTCGTTTTTTAATTTAAATCTTAAAATTTAGAATCTTTTTAATTTAGTCCTTGACATATCACTTGATTTTTAGATTTAATCCTTAAATATAGGTTGCCTTAAATTTGGTCCCTATTCCTTTGATTTAGGAGAATTTTTAATTTGGTCATCTCTTTTGCTCGAGGTTTTGATTTAATTATTCGATATTCCATAATTGATTAAAATTAATTAGGATTATTATTAGAGCTTTCACTTTAGGTTTAATTTCAAATTAAGTCCTTAAATTTAGGCGAATTCTTAGTTTAATCCTCACTTTTGCTCGAGGTTTCATTTTAATTATTCGAATTAAATTGATTAAAATTAATTAGGATTAATATTAGAGCCTCCACTTTAAGCTAAATTGAAAACTTAGTCCTTTAATTAAGGCAAATTTTTTATTTGGTCATTGCTTTTACTCGAGGCTCCATTTTAATTGTTCAAATCAAATAATTGATTAAAATTGACTAAGTTAATAATTAGAACCTCCATTTTCAGGTTTAATCCTCTAGGTTCTTTAAATCTCATAATTTGACACTTTAAGCTAGAGAGAATCTTTAATAATTAATTTAGTATAATTAGCCTCAATAACCAATTGTTTAATTGCATTTCATTTTTAAGATAAGGTAATGTTGATTTATTAGGGGATTAGTAGTGTATTTCCAGCTTTTGCTTAGGGTGACCGCTACTGATTCTCGAAGTAGATCGACATCCTTTTCAAAACTCCACCTCATGATTTCTAAATTATTAAGGTAATGTTTATTTATTGTGACTGATAATGAAGCTTCTGCTTTTGCTTGAGGGTGATCGTTATTAGTCTTGGTAAATCGACGTCCTTTTTCAAAATATGCATACGTAGTGTATTTTAAATTAAATAAAATTTCGAACTCGAAATTTCTAATTTTAAAATATAAGATAATCGATTAGGTATTAATTTTGGGTGCCGTGAGAGTGTTAATATTTCTTTACGCATAATTGACTCTAAACCTAATTTCTGATTACACAGATCAAGCCACTCCTATCTTTTCATATAAAATCTTTTATTGTCGGATGGGTCTTCCCATAAAAAAATCGGTTACGACATGTTGGATAGTGTAACGTCTGAGGAGGAAGGCATTTGTTTTGCAGTGCCGTAACTTGTTCCTGTTTAGAGATTTTAATTGAATTAATTGATTTGTTGGTTATGGATTTTTCTTGTCCCAGTGGAAGAAATATCGCCAAGTTGTGTTTTTGGTTAAGATTTTTCAAAATATTAAAATATAAAGGTAAAATTCAATTGTAACAAGAGCTTAACAATTTTGATCGTAATCTAAAAATTTATGGTTAATGTATTTTTTGTTATAATTAAAATTATTATAAATTAGTTTGCGAATTGAACAAACGAAGTTGAAAGAATCACCTTCACCTGTAATATCTAATTTGATTTAATTAGTCAATAGATCATATATGATTAGTTTAAAAAATTATTATCAATTATATAATTTTATAGAGTAAATATGTAATATCTCAGATTAAAATTCACTATAATTTTATATTATTAATTAGAATTATTATTAAATTAAATATAATAATAATACTTTATAGGTTATGCAGCCGCACAGCAAAACTGCCATTTTAAATTAAAAGGAAAAACAGGTCGGAAAAGTCGGAAGAGGTGTGGAGTAACAACCATGTATAGTGGAGATGTAGATAATTCACACGTGACTAAACAGTCAAACACGTTTCTCAATTACTCATTTGATCTGACGATAAAAATTTCAACATCTCATGTTTCGTTTCCATCCAACGACTGTTATATTGCCACGTGAAGATACCGACCACTGTACTGTTTGTTACAGGTCAAACTCGCTCACTATGGTCTAGGGAAAGGGACCACAGTTCACGTTCTTACAATATAAAAATGTTTGTTTTAGCAGCCGACTCTATTTGAATTTTGCTACAAAACTAAACCGATCTAAAGTGAAGCATTGTTACAGAAAATCCATGGCGGAGAATAGGAGTTTGACAATCGATCCGAGAAGTGGCTTCTGCCGTTCCAATTCTACCTTCTACAGCAAGCGCAACCCCATTCCTCTCCCCAAGAACGATTCTCTCGATGTCACCACCTTCATTTCTGCTCGAGCCCACCACGGTCATATTGCCTTCATCGACGCCGCCACCGGCCGCCACCTCACCTTCTCCGAGCTTTGGAGGGCTGTTGATTCCGTTGCCACTTGTCTTTCTGATATGGGGATCCGGAAAGGCTACGTCGTCTTACTCCTTTCACCCAACTCCATCTTCTTCCCCATTGTTTGCCTTTCTGTTATGTCCCTCGGCGCTATCATAACCACTACGAACCCTCTCAACACGGCCGGTGAGATCGGGAAACAAATTGCAGATTCAAAGCCGGTTCTCGCCTTTACTATCACTCCACTGCTCCCTAAATTAGCCGGCTCCACCATTCCAATCGTGCTTCTAGATGATCAAGTGAACAGCAACACTACGGGAGCGAAGATCGTGACGAGTTTACATCAGATGATGAAGACGGAACCAAGTGGGAGTCGAGTCAGGGACCGAGTCAACCAAGACGACACGGCTACTCTGCTTTATTCTTCTGGTACAACCGGTGCCAGCAAGGGGGTGGTTTCATCTCATCGAAACCTGATAGCGATGGTACAAACGGTGATAAACCGGTTCAGCCTAGAGGTAGGAGAAAGATTCATCTGCACGGTTCCCATGTTTCACATCTACGGCTTAGTAGCCTTCGCCACCGGGCTGCTGGCGTCTGGATCGACGGTCATCGTTTTATCGAAGTTCGAGATGCACGACATGCTGTCAACGATCGAGAAGTATCGTGCCACCTACCTCCCTCTGGTGCCGCCGATTCTGGTGGCGATGGTGAACGCCGCCGATCAGATACGTAAAAAGTACGATCTGAGCTCGTTGCATTCGGCTTTGTCGGGTGGGGCTCCGCTGAGTAAAGAAGTAATCGAAGGGTTCCTGGAGAAGTATCCTAATGTTAAGATTCTTCAGGGATACGGGTTGACAGAATCGGCTGGGATCGGTGCGTCGACGGACTCGTTGGAGGAAAGCCGGAGGTATGGTACGGCGGGAATGTTGTCGCCGAGCATGGAGGCTAAGGTTGTGGATCCGGAGAGTGGTAAGGCTTTAACGGTGAATCAGACGGGTGAGCTTTGTCTTAAGGGCCCCTCCGTTATGAAAGGTATTGCCTATAATTTATATTTGACGGTTTTAAATCAAGTAAAATGTTCCGTTTGCTTTTGCCATGTTTGTCTGTTTGCTGGTATGATGATTATGCATTTCTTTATCATTAGATTAAAAATTGTTATTAGCTTTGAAATACCAACTTAATTAAGGGGTGGATGTGTTTAAAGGGTGTGTATTTGATTGATTTGATTAAATTTGTTGACGAATTTTATTTTATAATTTAAATTTTATTTGAATTTTTTTTAGTCTAGTTAAGTTTATGAAATTCAAATCGAGTTAAAATTGTTTAACTTTCTGTTTAAATTTAGTTATAAATATTTATAATGTTATGATACTGATTAATTTTAATTTAAACGAATTTCTATAACCATATACGATATACATTATATATTTTTTTATATTTTTTCATATACGATATCATGCATAGTTGAAAAATTCAACTCGAACTTGAAAATCAATCTACTAATTACTAAAATTTTTGAATTATTTGAGTTTTATTAAGAAATTTTTCCGAGTCAAGTTTATAAAATTAAGAGCCAATTCAAATCAAATCGAACTTTTTAGCGTGGAGTTAGTAAAAAAGTTTGATTTTTCCAAAGTCAGTCTGTTGGGCTCACTCCTACCTGTGCTTTTAGTTTCCCTGTTGTCACTGGCAATAACTGCTTAAAATTTGTAGAATTAAATGGCTATTGAATTGATATTGAGAATGAGAGTTGGAGGATGGATGAAACATTGTTGTTGATGAGTGATTTTGGTTGAAAATATTGGTATTGTAGGTTATTTCAGTAATCCAGAAGCAACGACATCGACTCTTGATTCACATGGATGGCTGAGGACAGGAGATTTATGCTATATCGATGATGATGGCTTCATTTTCATAGTTGATAGGTTGAAGGAGCTGATCAAATACAAGGGATATCAGGTGAATGAAACTCCCTCCCTCATTCTGATTATTCAGAATTAAGTAAACTTAGTTTTGTGGTAAATTTGATTTGTGCAGGTTCCTCCTGCAGAGCTCGAGGCATTGCTCCTTACCCACCCTGAAATTTTAGATGCTGCTGTTATTCCGTGAGCTGCTTTCATTCCTTAATTCTCTTTTTCATGTTGATGGATGGTAAAGAAAATCATGTGTAATCTATCTATCTATGTATGCCTGGGGGAGTGTTTCAGGTTTCCAGATAATGAGGTGGGGCAGTTTCCGATGGCATATGTGGTGAGAAAACCCGGAAGCAATATATCGGAGACCCAAGTGATGGAGTTCGTGGGTAAACAGGTATGTATGTCACAAGAGAATTAATGAATTGGTTTTTCGAGTAGATGAAATTGAAAATGGAATTGAACAGGTTGCTCCATACAAAAGAATCCGGAAAGTGGCATTCGTCGACTCCATACCCAAGAACCCATCAGGCAAGATTCTTAGGAAGGATCTAATCAAGTTGGCCACCTCCAAACTTTGAACCCTTTGCTTCTCTTCTCATCACTGCTATGCCTATACATCTCATGCTTCTCTCTGTTTGCTCCAATTCTTTCCCCCTAAATATGTATGCTGTACTAGAACATCTTTGTGTTTAAAGTCGCACCTACTATTTATGTGAACAAAAAACTAATTTTTATATCAAATAATATTCAAAGACTTTATTTAGTACTAAATGATTTTGGGTAATAATTTATTTATTTATTTTTGTTGCCCTACCAAATCTAAGGTTTTGCTTTGAATAATCCGGACCGACCCTCGTCGCACACCTAGCTTTGGTGGGTATATCTCCTAGTAAGGATTTTCTGTATACACAAGGACTCAAACTCGAAACATTGCTTAAGCGATATCAAGATGCTTACCACTTGAACCAACCCGATAATAGTAATAATTTATTAATGTGTTTAATTATTTCCCATCAAATGAATGGCATATATTTTTGGAAATTCTAATACCTAGTTATTTGAAGATTCATTGAACCCCCCCCCCCCCAAACCCCCCAAACTGCATAATTTAAGCTCATTGACATGACATTGACATTTCCTTGATCTATCTATCACTGCCCGTCTCAAGTGGTGATAAAAACATGGAAATCACTTCTTTGAACCTAATGACAATGAGCAATGGCTGCATCACCATCACAAAATCATGCCCATCAAAACAAACCAAAACGCCTTGGATCTCCTAAGCCAATAACCTACCTCAAACTCAAGGAAGAAGCAACCATATCAAAGATGTGCATCTCATAATCTATGTGTTCTACTTGCCGCTACTTGCAGCATGTTTGGTTGGCATAAAGAGTGAACTCATTCAGGCCTGATTCAGTGATCAACAATATTCAAAGGTTTGGTTTACTGAATCACTCATTTCACAGAATCTAAATTCATATTACATGACTATTCCATAAAATCCAACCAAACGACTCAGACAACTCTTATTCAATTACTACAGGATAACATTCTACTCCACCCCTATTCCATTCCAGTGAACCAAAGTGCATTAGTGGCATATCTTTATCTTTACTTAAATTTGTGAAAATCTATTGTGAAACCAATAAGTCCAAATTCGCAGGAATTTAACTCTTCCAGCAACAGGGAAACTTGAAGTCCTGTATACCATTTGATCTGTCGCAAATCAACTGTGGGTACATAATACAAGGAAAAAAAATATTTCGATTGCTAATGACATCCATTTCAATCCTTGGATGCGTTTAACTAAATGTTAAACTGATGACAAAATGAAGCAAATAATGTTCACTATATTCCCACTTGGATTAGAATTACAATATAATTCCATTGACCCTTGCATACAAAGGTAGTGAGAAAGAAACCATACCTTAAAACTAACTGCTATATGTTCAATAAGAACATCCCAATCAGTAGCTCACCTTGGTTCTGCATTTTTCGAGGCAATCATATCAAATCGTATTCCTTCATCAGCTAGTTTCAGGCACCATGTCATTTAAACTCATTCAAGCTCCATGTAGTTCTAAATAGATAAAGGAAGAAGCATCCTTCTTTTCCTTTTCCTGGCCAACCTCACTTGCTTTGTGATTTTCATGCAGAGAAGCAATAGCATTGTGATGCATACTAGGATAAAGGCAAGTTGCATATCCCTAAAATATAAAGAAACAGCTGTAAAAACCAGGAACGCTAAAATGACGAGTTCCCATATAACAAAGACCATAACATCCACCCTGCACCAACAAAACACAAAGAAAGCATAGCTATTAGAATTGGTCATTTGCTGAGATGGAGAAAAACAACAACCAGAATGAAGATGCAATAAGCGTATCCAAATGAAACAAAACATGTTTTCTCGGCCAAATTACAAACAATTCAAATCCAAGCAATTGGAAGCTCTGATCCCCAGAAATTTGACAAGCATTCTACTACAGTCTACATCAAGTATTAGCAGTTAAGCTTAAAATTGTTGGCATACAGAATTAACCGAAAGCCATAGTCATCTCTACCACAAACTCCCCCAAATCAACTACATGAAACGTCCATGGGATGAACTTTTTAAATCTACCCCATCCCCAGCGGCACTCTTCATTAAGCAGTTAAGTAATCTATTTCAGATGAAATCAACAATTTCAAACTTTCTTTTTGTTTCCTTTGTAGGTCTCATGCTCGTCATAGGGACTAGACAAAGTTTATGGAAATCCAGAGTCGATTTCTAATTTTTTGACCACCTAAGATTTCAGTTATATTTTGAAAACGATAATATGACAACAAGAATCTTTCAAGCTTTTTCCTTTTCTATTTTCCCATTCTTAATAAATGTATCAATAAATTGAAAAACTAAATGAAATCGACAAAGAAACGACATTGATTTTTAAAAAATCATACTCGAGAAGCTAGAGCTAATTAATCCCTTTACCCATCTAATCCTACTACTTATCCGGGAACATCTTTAACATCTAGATCAAAGCTCAATCGAAAATATTTCATACTCAGAACGAAAAGTAAAGCCAAGAAAGCAAATCTTGGAATTGGGTATACCTATAAGATGAGAGATTGGACGTTGATGAGAAAAACGAAACGGAAGCCCAATCATGCTTAGATCGAAGCTGATACTCCCTCAATTGCTCTGCTAAATTCGATCGCGTTATCATCTCCTCCCTTCTCCTTTCTCCGCCTTCCAACTTATGATTTTGTTTGGCTTTTGGATATAAAAAAGGTTAAAATTTGAGAATTTGCAGAGCAAGATATGGGTTGGAGGTAGAAGAAAGGGGAAGGAAGAGCATCAATTCAATTACGCATTGGTTCGTTGCGTGGCTCTCCCTCCTAATTTTCTCGCATTATCAACCATTTTTCTCTCAGCACATAAAATGCTCTAATATGATTTGGTTCTAATTAAAATGTTTTTTAAGGTAAACAAGATCAAATATGATTACTTTTTTGGATTGGAATTGATTACATCATTCAATTATTAATAGTAATTTTAATTTAATCTTTATTATATCATATCAAACGATATCGTTTTATTAGAGAAAAATTATATAAAATATATAAAGAGGTACTAATTAAAATTCTTAGGTAGAAAGGCTTCGTGCGTGACTCTAAAATAATCTAAAATTAAATTCGTGAAGGAAGTCTTTGAAATATTGTTAATAGGTTGATTTGGATCTCTTAATTACTTGTGCGATGTTTAAATGATGTCATAAACACTTGAATTTGATTTGTTTGTTGAAAATCAAATGCATGTCGAGTATATTTTGATGTTAAATGTCGTTCATTTTAATTTCTTTACTATCAATTCACGTTTTAGGGTTTAAAAAAATTAATTTAAGGGTTTCTTTTGAATGAAATATAATGCCTCAAAAATCACACATTTTATATTTTTGATGATTTAGTTACTAATATGGTTTGAAGATTTTTAGCTTGATTTAGTTTTGATTCAAATCTGACCAAATTTTGATAAATCAATTTGACATTTACAGTCCATAGTCTTACCAGACTAGGTTGGAAGTTTTACAATATTAACATTCAGGAACAAACGTAAAATTTTATGTTGGGAGACGAACTTCTAATATTTTAGAAGATAATGAATTTATAAAATTATAAGGGACGAAAACAGATTTTCAATAAAAACTACATATAAAATCTAAAATATATGATAATTTTAAATTTTCATAGAACGATTGCCCCACCCGCCTCCATACTTGTTGCCCGCACAAAGCTGTTTATGTTGTGTTGTAATATCAGACTTGGTTAGAAATGTCAATTAACGAAGAATTCTAGTTTTTGACTGACTTTGCCTTTTGTTATTTTCACTTGATATACTTGTGTCCTTATTGATATAAAAATTTCCTTGGCTCTGAGCTACTAGCTGAGCAAACTATTATTTTTATAAATGTTAAGGGTTTCAATGTTGTAATTAACATAATGACATCATATTTCAGAGCAGAGCTAGTGTTTCAATACTAGCAATTGCTTCTTTTTTTTATGGAAACTTTTCAAAATATCAAATTGTTATATGTCAATTTTTATACTAATCATCCCAAAGTAGTGAGTGTTGTTATTTCTGAACTATATTTCAACATTAATTTGATAGTGAAGGGAATATTTCAAGTCCATGATGTTGAGCCATTCTCACTAGTAATACGAATGTTTGAACAATGGCCAAGATATTATAAGGTCACATTTCAACGCATTATGTTGTATTCGATTGGTCATATGTGCGCTATTAAGTAAAATCAAGGATATTTAATACTTTGTAACAAGTGCTGATTTTCCGATGACTTTTTTTTCTTAACGAGTATCTCAATATTCCACAAGGATAATCTCAATACTCGTAATGATGGAGGGGTTTTACAACTATGCCTTGAAATTTATGATCAGTGATTTGCAAAAAGAAAACTATCCAACAAAGACATCTCGATACTACAAGTGTGGAGGTATCTCGCACTAAAAAGAAAAGGGCATTTCAATAAGGACATCCAAGTAGAGATATCTTGATAGATTCTTCGTAGCACCAATCTAGCAATAAAAGAATCACATAGACATCTCACATTGTACAAATGAGGATATCTCACTTGAAGGTATCCCAACGAGGAAATCACAATAAGAGGCGTCTCACCGCTACAATTAGCAAAAGGATTATGAGACATCTCGATGTTCTAATCAGTGAATGATAGGGAAGCGGTGGCGGGTTAATAAACGTTGCTCTTGTTGAAGAATCAAACCTAGAAAGCTCTAGACTCGATTAAGAACAAAGGGGATGAATAGGGGAAGGTGGCGTTAATAGATATGATTCTTTAGGGTTTCTTCAAGGCAATAAGATTAGAACAAAATAAACAAAAGATAAAGAAATTGAAAATAAAATAAGATAAGATAATAAAGAAATCAAAAGATCTCCCTTACGAAGGTGGACGGTAAAGATGATTGATGGTGCAGATGGATTTGTGGAAAAATAGATGGATAAGTGTCCTATCGAACCCTCCTAGTCGCAATGAAAAGGCAAACTCGATAAATGACTCTAACCAACCCTCCTAGTCGCGATGAAAAGGCAAATTGGAGTGTGAAGATTAATCTCCCTCACAAGAACTTGAAAGAACTCCAGGAGAAGAAGCTTCGAAGGCACAAGGCAATCAACACTTGTAAAAACGAACTCTCGTTGTATTATTAATCAAAGAAATCTTCTAATACAAAGTTTAATGAAGCCTCCTTTATATAGGAGCTGAGTTCTAAAGGTCCTAAATAACTAATGTATAAAATAATAATAAACTAAACATATCTTAACTCTAATTCCTAATAAAATAATAATAACTAAAGATAATATTTTTAACCCAACCTTAATTCCTAATAAAATAATAAATCTAATCCTAAAAGATAATGCATCATCCTATATTAAGTTATATTACAAATAATCAATAAAAATATTGAAAATTCGTAATATTTACAAAATCCCGTATAAGATTTTCTGCATGCACCATCTTCAGTAAAATGACTATATCTTGAGTTTCCGATATCGGATTGATGCGATTCAAGAACCGTTGGTAAGATAAGGGACAGACGGTTGTATCTCTAGAAGACATATCGACCAAATAAGATCAGGATCCCATTCAAAAACTCGTCGCAAGTACGCTGCTGTTCTGATCTTCTTTTCCAAAGCTTGGACAAGTGGATCATTTGGAAGAGTTATTACTTCTTCCTTTGATGTGAACCTTGTGATGCATGTATCATCCTCCCTTTCTTCAAAAAGATTCGACCTCGAATCTAAAACATTAAAGGGAGCAACATTAGAATAGTTTAATAATTCATTCACATTATGCTTACCGAATAGATATGCTTTGAATCTTCGAGACTTTGTTCTTCTAATAGGTTCGAGTAGAAACATTAGTCCAAAGAAGCATGTATTATGGACTCTGGTACATGTATCATTCCCCCACTCCTCAAAAGGATTCATACTCGAATCTGAAAATCCAAAAGAAAGAGATTTAGATGTGTTGAAAGAAAAACTTGTGAAACATTTACCAGGATCAATGTGATGTGTCTTTATGCGTTTTAGTCAAGGTTTGTTCTTTGTAGGAACTGATTTCTTGTAGTCTTGAAATCCTATTTTGCATACAAGTCTTGTAATCTGATGTTTTGGTTGAATTTCAACATGGCGCCGGCCAATGTTGGCTTTCTGTATGATTATTTCAGATAATTTATCCATGGTTTTATTCATGTGTGGCGAGAATGAGTGTTTAAAAACCATGTCAACTGGTTTGTTAAAGTAATCCCTTAAGTCTCCTAAGTGTGGTTCATGAATTAATGATTCCCAGGAGGAGATTTGTGGACTGTAGAACCTGTTTAGTTGTCAAGGAAACTCATATACAAGATAAAGCTCATTAAAAACACTTTTAAAAGTATGGGTAGAAATATCAGAAATATCTGAGTTATCGTGATATACATCTTTGATATGTTCAATTCTCGGAATAGTAGTATGAGTTTGATAGGTAAGAGTATACCTTCGTGGTAGTGTATCGTCTATTGTGTTTTGCTTACCTCGGTATGTTACGCACTTAAAGGAGTTGTGTTTAGTATGGATGACAACTTCACGAGCCTTACCTTGTAAGAAGGAGAAGAAATACGTTACAATGTCATTAAAATGAGTAATAAAATATTTACCTTTGGACTCTCGTAAATCGTGACTCTTCATTGGTATGGCATAGTGATTAGGGCTTTCAGGTGGTAACCCGTCAGGAGGGTCACCTAGCACTATTCGACAACTCTTGGCGATGGAAGATGGTGTGGGCTAGTCTTGTGTTGCTTTTACTTTCTCATCATTTACATGGATTCCCTGTGCACGAACTATAAAGCATGTGGAATTGTTCAAGTCATGTTTCGTCATTAAGATGACGTTACGACTAAGGCTTTCATGGATATAGCCTTTTTGTAACAAATCTAACTCTTTGGTTTCTTCGAGATTGTATGTTTGACGAGGTATGATGGAACCTTGAATTAGATTGGTTTGGTGTTGTTTTCCTTTTTCCAGTGGTAATCCGTCAGGTGGATCACCTAATTCTTCTCGAAAATCCTATAACAAAGATGAAAACACACTAGGCAAATCCTTGTTAATGTTAGAAATCGAAACAATTGATTCTCTAAAGCAAACAAGGATGGAAGGTTGTTTGTAAAGAAGGTTCTCTCTCAATTCTTTTGTGCTCACACATATATTTTGAGTCACTCTTTTCTTCTCATAATTAGGTTCACTCACCTCCCATGGGTCATTATTCTTTTGGCTTTTGTAACTAGTGACCTCTTTTTCTTTTGCCTCTTTCTCAGCTTTTTCTTTTTTTGCTTTCCCTACCTCCTCACAAATTATCATTTGATCTTTAGGGGCTGGAAGTGTGTCATTCTTTGTTGGTCGTTCTTTCTCCTTGTCAAGTTTGTCATCTCTTGGCTTTTTCAGAAAAGATGGAGTAGAAGATGAGGAAGGATTTGAAGGATTACCTGGTAAGATGATGAAGTACCTTGGTAATGTTCACTGAATCGAGATCTCCTTTGGATTTGTGCTTCGATTGTTATTGCTTTCTTTAGTGTATCTTCAAGGTTTTCGTACCCTTGTAGATCAAGAAGATCAATGATGTTTGAGTTCAAGCCGATGATGAATCTTGACACGGTGACTTCTTCTTTTTCGGTTATGTTAGCCCTATTGAGTAAGGACTGCATCTCCTTGTAGTAATCTTCAACTGAACTTCTACCTTGTCGAAGTCGGTGTAGTCGTTGTTTAACTTCTCGTGTATAATGTGCCGGTAAGAATCGGTTCCTCATGGTTTGTTTGAGGTTGG